ATACAGCAGCAGGCATTGTCAGGGTGGGGACTGAACCCACGACCTCCTGTACACCAGGCGAGGTAGTCAACATCTCCTAGCCACCATGATGATGATGATGAGAGAGAGAGACACGCAAACTCCAAATATACAGCAGCAGGCATTGTCAGGGTGGGGACTGAACCCACGACCTCCTGTACACCAGGCGAGGTAGTCAACATCTCCTAGCCACCGTGATGATGATGATGAGAGAGAGAGACACGCAGACTCCAAATATACAGCAGCAGGCATTGTCAGGGTGGGGACTGAACCCACGACCTCCTGTACACCAGGCGAGGTAGTCAACATCTCCTAGCCACCATGATGATGATGATGAGAGAGAGAGACACGCAAACTCCAAATATACAGCAGCAGGCATTGTCAGGGTGGGGACTGAACCCACGACCTCCTGTACACCAGGCGAGGTAGTCAACATCTCCTAGCCACCGTGATGATGATGATGAGAGAGAGAGACACGCAGACTCCAAATATACAGCAGCAGGCATTGTCAGGGTGGGGACTGAACCCACGACCTCCTGTACACCAGGCGAGGTAGTCAACATCTCCTAGCCACCGTGATGATGATGATGAGAGAGAGAGACACGCAGACTCCAAATATACAGCAGCAGGCATTGTCAGGGTGGGGACTGAACCCACGACCTCCTGTACACCAGGCGAGGTAGTTAACATCTCCTAGCCACCGCTGCACCCTGCTGCTGCTGCTGCTGCCATTGCACGCGAGTCTGGAATGGAGAGGTCCTCCGTAAAAACATCTCGGCGGGGATTGGGGGAGGGGGTTCCGAGACACCGCGGTGACGCCCGGTGCCTCGCTGGTGCCTCGCCGGTGCCTCGCCGGTGAGGCCCGGTGCCTCACTGGTGAGGCCCGGTGCCTCGCCGGTGCCACGCCGGTGCCTCGCCGGTGCCGCGCCGGTGCTGGCGCTGGTGCCAAACCGCACGCGGCTCGGCCTCCGGTGACGCCCCGGCGGTCGTTGGGCGAAAGCGAAATGGCTCGCACACGTGACAGAAGTCTCCCTTGACGAGCCACTGCCGCCACCACTACAGTAGCACAGTAGTGGTGGTGGTAGTGGTGGTGGTGGTTGTGGTGGTGGTGGTGCTGGTTGTTGTGGTGGTGGTGGTTGTAGTGGTGGTGGTGGTTGTGGTGGTGGTGGTGCTGGTAGTGGTGGTGGTGCTGGTAGTAGTGGTGGTTGTGGTGGTGGTGGTGGTGCTGGGAGTGGTGGTGGTGCTGGTAGTGGTAGTGGTGGTGGTGCTGGTAGTGGTAGTGGTGGTTGTGATGCTAGTGATGGTCGTGCTGGTAGTGGTGGTGGTGGTGCTGGTAGTGGTGGTGGCAGTAGTTGTGGTAGTAGTAGTGGTGGTGGGAGTAGCCGTAGTGGTGGTGGTGGTAGTGGTGGTGGTGCTGGTAGTAGTTGTGGTGGTAGTGGTGGTGCTGGTAGTGATGGTGCCAGCAGAGAACCTTCCACACTCCAAAGTGCACCTAGCCTGGCACAAGCGCTGTGGTGTCGTCACCACCGCTTAGTGGCGAATGGCGGCTGCTGTTGTTGTTGTGTGCTGCGTGCCGGTTGCGATCGGTATGCTTGGAGAGAGAGAGAAAAACTTTAAATTTGTTAGAGGGACAAATTATGGGAAGGGAATATACTTTTAATGATACTTTGTAACGTAACAAATATATAGGACAGTGATTTTTTTTTTGCAATTGACCTATTTTCAATGAGAACACGTGGTGTGCATTTGTGTCTTTCGTTCACTTAAAGTCCTGGTCACAAAGGCAAAGTTTGTGGGGAATGATATCCAAAATAATTCAACATACGTACGTACATTCATAGCATGGTTGGCTAGGTACGGTATGAAAGAAGTTTAACACACATAGCACGGTTGGCTAGGTATGGTGTGAAAGAAGTTTAACACACAGCACGGTTGGCTAGGTACGGTGTAAAAGAAGTTCAACACACAACACGGTTGGCTAGGTACGGTGTGAATAGTTCAACACACACACATAGCACGGTTGGCTAGGTACGGTGTGAAAGAAGTTCTACACACAGCACTGTTGGCTAGGTACGGTGTGAAAGAAGTTTAACACACAAACGTAGCACGGTTGGCTAGGTACGGTGTGAAAGAAGTTTAACACACACACAGCACGGTTGGCTACGTATGGTGTGAAAGAAGTTCAGCATAGCATGAAACGTGCCTCATCGATTTAGTCTTTTTGTATTTCTTCAAGGGCCACACACGGCGGCGTTCTATGGACTGTCCGTGTTGAGTTTCGCTTTGTCCAACATGGTTCAGGAGGAGGATGCGTGGTGTCGCCTGCGTGTCACTCGGCTGAATCCGCGGCTCCGTCCCACGTTTGCGTCGCGGCAAATTCCTCCCGCATTGTTAATTGAAAGTCGGCAGTCGATTTCGCCCGACGCAGACCTCTCGCGGTCTTCGTCCCCGATCCGCCACGTGTTTTTGTTTTCGCCGCCGCCGCCGACGCACTACTCTATCTGCGTGCGTGGCAGATAGAGAGTCCAGCCACCCACACTTCAGGCCGCACCAGGGGCGAAGTTCCCATCCCACGTCTCCCCTCGAGCTCCCTACAGACTTGGTGGGGCGTGTGCTTGCTCCTGAAGGCCGGCACGGGCTACTCGTTCACTCGGTTACATAACCGCTCGCACGCCAAACCACTCGCTCGCTCGCTCGCCCAAGCACTCGCCCACCAAACCGCTCGCTCACTCAAACGCGCACCCACTCGGCCACTCATTTATCTATCCACACAACCACCCATCCACTCACTCGCCCAAACGCTCGCCCACCAAACCGCTCACTCACTCATCCAAACACGTACCCACTCGGCCACTCATTTATCTATCCACACAACCACCCATCCACTCACTCGCCCAATTACTCGCCCAACCACTCGCCCACCAAACCGCTCACTCGCTCACTCACTCAAACGCGCACCCACTCGGTCACTCATTTATCTATCCACACAACCACCCATCCACTCACTCGCCCAAGCACTCGCCCACCAAACCGCTCGCTCACTCAAACGCGCATCCACTTGGCCACTCATTTATCTATCCACACAACCACCCATCCACTCACTCGCCCAATTACTCGCCCAACCACTCGCCCACCAAACCGCTCACTCGCTCACTCACTCAAACGCGCACCCACTCGGTCACTCATTTATCTATCCACACAACCACCCATCCACTCACTCGCCCAAGCACTCGCCCACCAAACCGCTCACTCACTCAAACGCGCATCCACTCGGCCACTCATTTATCTATCCACACAACCACCCATCCACTCACTCGCCCAACCACTCGCCCAACCACTCGCCCACCAAACCGCTCACTCGCTCACTCAAACCCGCACCCACTCGGCCACTCATTTATCTATCCACACAAACACCCATCCACTCACTCGCCCAAACGCTCGCCCACCAAACCGCTCACTCGCTCAAAACGCGCGCCGACTCATCCACCCGAACATTCACTCGCTCAAGCACTCGCCCATTGACCAATCCAAATGCTCACCTCCACCTGCTCACCCAGCCACAACTCACTCATTCACTCACCCTCTCGCCCATTGAGTCACCCACCCACTCGCTCACTCACCCAACCACTCACTCATCCCCCCCCTAACCGCTGACCCACTCACACACCCCCCGCCCCCCTACTGGAAGGGGGCAGGGTAAAACAGAGTGCCACGTGCTTCTCTCTCTGTCGCCAAAACTATATTTCACGGTGCGGTGCAGAATGTGAACATTCCGTGAAGATGGTGACGACGACGACGATGATGATGATGGTGGTCGTGGTGTCGGTGAAGGCGTGGGGAGCGGTTAGCGCCACGCTGCGCTACGAACCCGGCGACCCGGGTTCGATTCCCGCTCACGGCCACCAACAACACCCAGTGACGATTAGCTGAACCGGTCCTGGGCCTCCCCTAGGTCGACTCGGCCTCAAATGAGTACCTGGTTGCGCTGTGTAGTAAACATCGCCACTGGGGAGACAAAGGCGGCCGGGCGTGGTGCTGGCCACCCACCCCCTCGTGTGCCGTGCCGGCCTTCAAAGGTGCTGCTACTCGCTAACAGCACTTGCCCCAACAGTCTGTTGAGGTTGTTGGGGCAAGTGCCGTTATTCAAATTGTAAATGTTGTGGATTTACTCTCCAGCACATCGGTGTGCTGAAGTGGTTGCTGATTGACGCGTTGTTTACGTGACAAATCCCTGACTGGCTGTGTCGGGTGGTGGAGGGTTACGACACATATTCGCGCGATCGAACCCAAAAACCTTTACGAGTGGCGATGGTGTTTACTGTAAATGCTGAGGTGCTCATGGTATTGTGGTGGTGGTGGTGGTGTTGATATTCTAGATTTGAAGCTTTCGTGACTGCAATGATCCATACTCTTTGGTTCTATTCGGTAAAGTCACGTAGGTAAAAAATAAAACAGCCTTCATCACCTGATGAAGGCCGCTTGTGTTGTGGCCGAAACGTCGTGATTTCTGTTATTTTATGTTTTACTTACGTGTCTTTACCGAATAGAACCAAAGAGTATGGTGTTGGTAGTGGTGGTGGTTGGTGATGGTGGAGGTGGTGGTGCAGATGACGATGATTATTTGCAGTGATGATGGTGGTGTGTGTGATGATGGTGGTGGTGTGTGTGTAGTTGGTGATGGTAGTGGTGGTGGTGCTGGTGGAGGTCACGGTGTTTTTGTTGGCAGTAGCAGCTGTGTCGGCGGCGCTGATTGCAGCAGTGGTGGTCGTGATGGGAGTGAAATTAATTGTGATGGCAAGTGCTGATGGTGACGCTGCTGCTGCTGCTGTTACTGCTTCGGCGTCTACTGCTGCTACTTTTACTGCTGCTGCTTCTACTGCCGCAGCTACTTCTGCTGACGCAGCGCATTATCACGCAGGCCCCGGTCGCCAGCAGCAGCAGCAGTTGTGAACTTTCCGTGTGAAATTTCATGCCTCCGCTAGAAAGCCGACGGACGGACGCACGGACGCACGGACGCACGGACAGATCGCCGGAGATCGCCGGGAAGCACCGGGGGAGTGAACAGCGACATCCCCCCCCCCCACCTCTCGCTTGGCCCGAGCGGAAATCTGTCCACCCATTGCCAGCTCGCCCGTCCAACGTCCGCCCAACGTCCGCCCAACGCCCACGCGCCGCGCCGGCGTCACCGAAGCCGGCCGCGTGAGATGCCCCGCGCCGCCCGGCAGCTCACCGAGTTCCCGTCGGATCGCCGCTTCTGATCGGCGGGCGGGCGGGCGAGCGAAGCGGCCGAGGAGAGCTTGGGAGAGTGGAGGAGCGAGGGGGCAAGGATTGGCAGCCACCCACCGCCGCCACCACCACCACCACCACCAACCCCCCCCCCCCCTCCCCGTCAAGAGCACGAGGCGAGCACGGAGTCTGACTTCCACCCCCGTCTTCCTCACGCGTCTCCTCCTCCTTTCTCCGGAGGTACGTACCTACGGCGGGTCGATTGGGGTTCATCGGCAGCACCGCCGCCGCCGCCGCCGCCGCCGGCATCATCGTCATCAGCACCGGCATCATCATCAACAGCAGCAGCATCATCATAAGCAGCATCATCATCATCGGTTTTCAGCATCATCATCGGCAGTATCGGCATCATCATCATCAACAGCAGCAGCATCATCATAAGCAGCATCATCATCATCATCGGTTTTCAGCATCATCATCGGCAGTATCGGCATCATCATCAACCGCAGCAGCATCATCATAAGCAGCATCATCATCATCGGTTTTCAGCATCATCATCGGCAGTATCGGCATCATCATCATCAACAGCAGCAGCATCATCATAAGCAGCATCATCATCATCGGTTTTCAGCATCATCATCGGCAGTATCGGCAGCAGGATCAACAACAGCAGCAGCATCATCATGAGCAGCATCATCATCGGTTTTCAGCATCATCATCGGCAGTATCGGCAGCAGGATCAACAACAGCAGCAGCATCATCATGAGCAGCATCATCATCGGTTTTCAGCATCATCATCGGCAGTATCGGCAGCAGGATCAACAACAGCAGCAGCAGCAGCATGAGCAGCAGCATCAACAGCAGCAGCAGCATCATTATCAGCATGAAAGCCACCCAGGCGTCCGTGATGGTTCTGGAATTTCACAGGGTATCGCCACCACCACCGCCGCCGCCGCCCGGCAGCACAGAGACGGCTCTGTGTGTGTTTGTGATCGTGGATTAATTTTGGGCCCAGGTGGCTGCCCAGCGGCCAAGCTGGCATCTTGCCATCGGAAGAGTTGCAAGTTCAAATCCCAGCCACGGTGGCCACGAGATGTTGACTACCTCGCCTCGTGTCCAGGAGGTCGTGGGCTTGATCCCAACCCTGACGCCTGCTGTATATTTGGAGTCTGAGTGTCTCTCTCATCATCACCACGGTGGCTAGGAGATGTTGACTACCTCGCCTGGTATACAGGAGGTCGTGGGTTTGATCCCAACCCTGACGCCTGCTGTATATTTGGAGTTTGTGTGTCTCTCTCATCATCACCACGGTGGCTAGGAGATGTTAACTACCTCGCCTGGTATACAGGAGGTCGTGGGTTTGATCCAAACCCTGACGCCTGCAGCTGTATGTTTGGAGTTTGTGTGTCTCTCTCTCATCATCATCACAGTGGCTATGAGATGTTAACTACCTCGCCTGGTGTACAGGAGGTCGTGGGTTTGATCCTGATCCTGGCGCCTGCTGCTGCTGCTGTATATTTGGAGTTTGCGTGTCTCTCTCTCTCTCCCCGTGGTCGCGTGGATTTTTCTCCGGGTCCTCCGGTTTCTTCCCTCCGCATTTAGAATCGACGTCTCTCTACGCGTGTTACAGAGTTTGGCGGCCGCTATAAATTTCCACACGACGATGACGACGAGGACGAGGTCGCCTCGTTGGAGCTACGATTCGCGATCGATCGCCAGTTGGCACGTCGCTCGATCGGCGGTGGCCTTGCCTGCTAAAATAAAACGTTCAGTAGTTGAGTATAGCGTATTAGGACAATGAAGCAGAGACGTTAGGTCCTGTTGCAATTCAGCAGACCTGGTTAAAATAAAAATAAAAGTTTATAGTTTATGGTGCAGGCAGTGATGACTTACGAACGAGCTTCCGTGAAACAAAGTTTTTGAACGTCGAAGTAAAACACGGCACTATTTTTGTTTAGCTGAGCGACCCAGCCGCGAGACGTGAGAGTCGGCCTCGTGCTGCGAGTGCGTGTGTGTGTGTACGTGTACGTGTGTGTGTCTGTGTGTGTGTACGTGTGTGTGTGTGTACGTGTGTGTGTGTGTACGTGTGTGTGTCTGTGGGTGTCTGTGTGTGTGTACGTGTGTGTGTGTCTGTGTGTCTGTGGGTGTGTGTGTCTGTGGGTGTGTGTCTGTGGGTGTGTGTCTGTGTGTGTCTGTGTGTGTCTGTGGGTGTGTGTCTGTGTGTGTGTGTCTGTGGGTGTGTGTGTCTGTGGGTGTGTGTGTATACGTGTCTGTGGGTGTGTGTCTGCATGTCTGTGGGTGTGTGTCTGTGTGTGCGTGTCTGTGGGTGTGTGTCTGTGTGTACGTGTCTGTGTGTCTGTGTGTGTGTGTGTCTCTGTGTGTGTGTCTGTGGGTGTGTGTGTCTGTGGGTGTCTGTGTGTACGTGTCTGGGTGTGTGTCTGCATGTCTGTGGGTGTGTGTGTGTGTGTCTGTGTGTGTGTCTGTCGGTGTGTACGTGTCTGTGGGTGTGTGTCTGTGTGTACGTGTCTGTGTGTGTGTGTCTGCATGTCTGTGTGTGTACGTGTCTGTGTGTGTGTGTCTGCATGTCTGTGGGTGTGTGTCTGTGTGTGCGTGTCTGTGTGTACGTGTCTGTGGGTGTGTGTCTGCGTGTGTGTGTGTCTGCGTGTGTGTGTGTCTGTGTGTACGTGTCTGTGGGTGTGTGTCTGTGAGTGTGTGTCTGTGAGTGCGTGTCTGCGAGTGCGTGTCTGTGTGTGTGTCTGCATGTCTGCAAGTGAGTGTGTGCGTGTCTGCGAGTGAGTGTCTGCGAGTGAGTGTCTGTGTGTGTCTGCATGTCTGCGAGTGAGTGTGAGTGTCTGTGTCTGCGTGTCTGCTAGTGTGTGTCTGCGAGTGAGTGTCTGTGCGTGTCTGTGAGTGAGTGTCTGTCTGTGTGTCTGCGAGTGTGTGTCTGTGTGTACGTGTCTGTGGATGTGTGTCTGCGAGTGTGTGTCTGTGAGTGTGTGTCTGTGTCTGTGTGTACGTGTCTGTGGGTGTGTGTCTGTGGGTTTGTGTCTGTGTGTACGTGTCTGTGGGTGTATGTCTGCGTGTACGTGTCTGTGGGTGTGTGTCTGCGTGTGCGAGTCTGTGTGTGAGTGTCTGCGTGTGCCTGTGTCTGCGTGTGCGTGTGTCTGCGTGTGTCTGTGTCTGCGTGTGAGTATCTGCGTGTGAGTGTCTGCGTGTGCGTGTGTCTGCGTGTGCCTGTGTCTGCGTGTGCGTGTCTTTGTGTACGCGTGCGGTGTGTGTGCGTGTTGTGTGTCCGTGGGCAGTGTGGTACACCTGGCCTGGCACAGGCGCCGTGGTGACGTCACAGTCACTTGCAAGTGGAGGTGACGTCACCGTCACTTGCAAGTGGAGGTGACGTCACCGTCACTTGCAAGTGGCGGTGTATTGGCGTTGGACAGTGTCGCGGGCAGCGCGCTGCGCTAAGCATCGAGTTCAATTCTTGCTCACGGCCGCCAACACCACAGTGACGATTATTTGGACCGGTCCTGGGCCTCCGCTAGGTCGACTCAGCCTCAAACGAGTACCTGGTGCGGTGCGTAGTAAACATCGCCACTGGGGGAGACAAAGGCGGCCTGGCGTGGTGCTGGGCCACCCACCCCCTCGTGTGCCGTGCCGGCCTTCAGAGGTGCTCGCTACTCGCTAACAGCACTTGCCCCTACAGTCTGTTACAGGCTGCACGGGGGGATCTTTGTCTTTGGGCGTGTAAATACCACGGATTAATGATCGTCTTCCGACTTAACGAACAGTTTGACTCACGAATGGGTCCCGGGAACGAATTGTGTTTGTAAGGCGAGGATTGCCCATGCCCAGGGACAGGCTCCCCTGAGTCTCAAGTAGCAGCAGCAGCAGCAGCAACGTCACCATCAGCACTTGCCATCACAATTAATTTCACTTCCACCACCACCTCCACCACCACCGCTGCTGCAATCAGCACCGCCGACACAGCTGCGACTGCCAACAACAACTCCGTGACCTCCGCCGCCACCACTACCATCACCAAACTATACACACTCCACCGTCGTCACTGCCAATCATCACCATCATCATCTCCACCACCACCACCACTTCTACCATCACGCTCTATGCCACCCTTCATCACTCGTTAAGAGCGTTAATATTCACGAGGCTCGTGACGTCATGAATATTAATTCATTCTCCCCACCCCCCCCCCCCCGTATAAATCACTTATGTAAGGGGGTTTGCGTACCTGTCAAGCCATTATCAGTGCCCTACCTTATCACAGACCAATTGAGACCTTGTTGTTCACCCCCGTGTGACGCTTACAAATCTCAGCGTTCATCCTGCCAAGTGCCATCGCAAGGGAGAGAAGAAACACAAACGGACAGTGTTGAAAGGGCCGCACGCCGCGTGGACCGTGTGTGCTGACGCCGTGTGGTGACGCCGTCACGTCTGCCCCCCTCTATTTAGGCAACGGAACAGGAGGATTTCTCCGCAGTACCTGGCTGTGCGCCTTGATGAACGCTGGTTGTAATTACCGGCAGAAACGTCGTACTCAGATTGGCAGCGTTGTCGCTTTGGTCTCCAACACACAAGCGGTGTGCTGTACTAGTACACTACACTACTATACACTACACTATACACTACACTATACACTACACTACACACTAGTGCTGTACTAGCGACGGATTGGCCACGTTCTGCTTACGTGACGAACCTCACCAGTTGGCTGTGTCGGGCGGTGGCGGGTTTAACGACACATTCATTGATATTTAGCGACACATTTGTATAAATTTACGCGATCTAAGCCAAGAAAAAAAAACCTCTTAAAGGTGTGGGTTTGTTGACAGCGTGGTGCGCTGCTCACTTTCAGCTTGGAGTTATTTCAGAAACGGGAAATGTTTCCATAATGTACGTTTTTTTTTTTAGGGGGAAATGTTTCATCGTCCCCGTGGCCGAAGGCACCGCTGACCAATGGCGTCAGCCGTTAAGCAACGGGATTCGGAGTAAATAAAAAAAGTTTCTTAAATGTAATCAAAATCTTGGACACGCATCGGTTGAAACTACGGGGACTCCACTACTTACGAACCGGGTGTGGACCAATCAAGTTCAAGGACAGTGCCACGTACATTTTCAGAGTTGTTGTTTTGTGTTTGCGTTCCGACCGCAGGTATTGTGGTCAATGTAAACATGACTCCTTGTAAAAAAAGGTGTCAGTTTTGTTGCCAGATAAATGGGTCAAA